AAAAAAAAAAAAAAAAAAAAAAAACTGCAAAAAAAAAAATTATATGTCAACAAGAAGAAATATCAGACTTGGCACTTGTGGTTCAAACAGCTAAGGCACTAGCTACGTACACCAGAGCTGGCCAGTTCGAATCCAGCCTGAACCTGCCAAACAACAATGATAATTGCAACTAAAAAATAGCCGGGTATTGTGGCAGGCACCTGTGATTCCAGCTACCTGGGAGGCTGAGGCAAGAGAATCGCTTAAGCCTAAGAGTTGGAGGTTGCTGTGAGCTGTGATGCCATGGCACTCTACCCAGGGCGACAGCTTGAGGCTCTGTCTCAAAAAAAAAGAAGAAGAAATATCATGTAGACATTAGAATTCAAGATTGATGTTAGTTATTGAATTTTATGGTATATTAAATGAAGATAAGATATACATTTTTAAGTACATTCTCTTGTCAACTAGGTAAGAAGCTCTTAACTAGGCTCAGCGCCTATGGCTCAAGTGGTTAAGGCACCAGTCACATAAACCTAAGGTGGCAGGTTTGAATCCAGCCCAGGCTTGCCAAATAACAATGACGGCTGCAACCAAAAAATAGCCAGGCACCATGGCAGGCGCCTGTGGTCCCAGCTACTTGGGAGGCTGAGGCAGGAGACTCGCTTGAGCCCAGGAGTTGGAGGTTGCTGTAAGCTGTGATGCCACAGCACTCTACCCAGGGGGATAGCTTGAGGCTCTGTCTCAAACAAAAAAGAAACTCTTAACTATTGATAAACAGTGAGCATAATGAGGTTACAAAATTTAACTCACATTACAACTCTGAACAGAAAAAATGTAATATCTTCCATTTTTCTTTTATTTAATTATTTATTTTGTTGTTATTGTTGTGGCAGTTTTGGCCAGGGTTGGGTTCAAACCTGCCACCCTCGGTATGTGGGACCAGTATCCTACTCCCTGAGCCACAGGCACCGCCCTCAATTTTTCTTTTAGTATACCCACCAGACTCATTCATTTACAAGAATGAATAAAGTTAAATGTCTAATCTAAGTTAAACAAAGAATTGAAGGGCAGATTAGCTGGTGGCTAAGGTCCCTTCCAGTTCTGTGGGTGGCAATTAAGCAGTGATTTAATGATGGTTTACATTAATCTCCTCACTAGAACTTTAGTCATGGAGCCCATTCCCCACAGCAAAAGGAAAAAGACCAGTGTATGTTTATCTCATTGCAGGAAAATGAGAATGAGGCGGGAACTGGAGCCCAAGGGCCCCAAGCCAGCTGCCCCTTCTGCCCCAGGCCCAAATAACAACAGCGGCCAACACCCTGCAACTGTGACCTTCAGCCCTGTTGACATTCATGTGGAGACTCGGTGACCTCTACCCTGGTGCTATCTCCAACACTATCCAAAGAACCTTCTCCAGAGTCAAGACCCCAAAGCACACTTCTCTGGAAGCTTCACCTTGAGTTCCTTCTGGTCAGGTCAACAGAGGCGTCTTTCATGCAATCTCTGATGTTTTAGGCAATCCTCAACCTCCTTCTGCCCTGCCCCACCCTAACTATGTCCAAGTCCCTGCTGCCACCCTACCAAAAAGCTGCAGAACATTCTTTTGTCATTTATGAGGTAGAGCTATGTTGGGAATCCACTAATGTGGGTTTGGCTCTCTCCTTACCAAAGCTAGACAGATAGACACAGAGTTCGGAGTCTTCTGGTTAGAGGTCAGGGTTCAGGAAATACGTCTGAGAGTATCACAATAGGATCTGCCACTGGGATCATAGCAGATTAAATGCCATAACTACAGCTTTGCAGAGCAAGATATTCAATCCCATAACTAGGCACAGGGGGAGCTAACTTGGGCTAACTAACCAGAAAACAAAGTTGTTAATTTCTAACTTGTTCCAGTACTAGATGACAGCTAGCTAGCTCATGACAATTGGTCAGCACATTTTTCCCTCTTTAAGGAAGGTTACAAGAAAAAGGCAATCCATCTCAAAAAGTTTCTGCTTCTTTAGGAGAAGAAATAGGCGACCTTGAGAAATAGTGGCCTCTATGATAAGAGCTTGGTGCACTGCCCATGGGCCGTGAAAAATCCAGGCGGCTGGTGCAAGCTCCTTCTCCTATAATGGGTTGAATCAACCTTTCATTTCTTGATTCCCCTTTATCTGGATTCTAAGTGACCTTAACTGTAATACCTTACCTCCGAGGGCCCGGAGATTGATCAGATTATGTTTTCTGGTCACTTTGCCAAGAGTCAAAGCATATTCAGAGTGCCACAGCCGCAAACCATTTCTCTGTAGAGAGCTGATCTCTTACTACTTAGCCTGGGGAACCAGCTACTGCAGAGAAGGGAAAGTACTTTGGAATGAAGAAGACGTGCCCTCCAAGCCCTACTTTCAGGTTGTGTGGTCTTGGAAAAGTGACTCAGCCTCTCCATATTCAGTTTCCTAACCATGAAGTGGAAATGACAACATCTGCCTCACTGGGTTATTATAACAAGCCAACAACTTAGCAAACCAGCTTGAATATAGTGCCTGGCACCCAGTAGCCGCTTAATAAATGGGAGCCAGTGTTATTATTGTAAGTTTTCTTCAATTGCAAGATATACATTTGTTCACATTTTAATGATTCTGAAACCATTATATATCTTACAACTGATGGGACTGTTCATGTAATTGTACTTTTTTTCTTCCCTCTCAAAACTGTTTTTAACCAATTGTGTATCTTACAATTGATGGCATCTTAGAAACAAGGTAATAAACCGTTATTCTGTTACAGAAAGTAATACTTGACATTTAATCTCAAATTATCGATGTCTCTCTCTATGTGTGTGTGTCAGAAATCCCCTTTTTTTCCTTTGAGACAGAATCTCACTCTGACGCCCCGGGTAGAACGCCCAGGCATCATAGCTCACAGCAACCTCCAACTCTTGGGCTCAAGTGATCTTCTTGCTTCAGTCTCCCCAGTAGTTGGGACTATAGGTGTCCATGGCAACAGCTGGCTAATTTTTCTATTTTTAGTAGAAACAGTGTCTTACCCTTGTTCAGGCTGGTATTGCACTCCTGAGTTCAGGTGATCCACCTGCCTCAGACTCCCAGAGTTGTTAGGATTACAGGTGAGAGTCACCTCGCTGGCCCAGAAATCCCTTTTGAGGGGAAATGGAGAGCCCAGGGAGGTAAGAGGTCTGACCCGGGGCTACGCAGCTCATGTCTGTAAAAACATTCAGTGGAGGCTGGGTGATGTGGCTCATGACTAATCCTAACACTCTGGGAGGCCAAGGAGGGTAGATTGCCTTGAGGTCACAGGTTCAAGACCAGCTTGAACAAGACTGAAACCCCATCTCTAAAAATAGCTGAGTGTTGTGGTGGGCACCTGTAGTCCCAGCTATTTGGGAGGCTGAGGCAAGAGAATCACTTGAGCCCAAGAGTTTGAGGTTGCTGTGAGCTGTGATGCCACACACTCTATCTAGGGTGACATAGTGAGACTGTCTCAAAAAAGAAAAAAACAGGATCCATTCTA